TTATGTCTATCTATAGATAACGATATACTGCACCTCTGTGTGTAAAAGAATGTTTCTGTGTATAATCTAAATTCAATAATTTTCTGGAGTATTTACCTAGATTTGTGCCATTACACCAGTCACCAGGGCAGTAATGTCCAGGGGGACAAGGTGATGGATAACTTGAGTTGACCGGACAGTAGAAACCACCAGGACACGGTTCTTGAGTCATGGATCGGTTACAGTAATAACCTGGAAATCATAAAACATAATTATTTAAAACTTGTTCTGTCAAGTTAGCATAAAAAAAAAAGATAGATAATTTGCTACATTGAACACAGTCAACAATGCATATTTCCACTCAGATCAGTGACCTTTGAATGTGTATCACCAGTGATCAGTCAAGTAAATTCAAGTCTAAATTTTTGCATGATATTTTCATACAGGACATCTGTCGTTAATACTCAGAGAAAACTTTATACTGATGAATAAGGAGACCAAGTTTGATAAAGTTTGGAGTAGAATTAGTAAAGTTATTGTGCACACAATAACGATTATTAACGACGACAACGATGACGCCAACAACGCCGCACAGAAATTGTTCCCTTAATATACCTTTCCCTTCCATCTTTGATGTTACGGGCAAGGTAAAAATAATAGTTCTAGAAATTATTTGTACATAGCTGAGAATGCTATGGAGTTAACTGTCTGGATGAACAATCATTTGTATGTATAGTTGGTAATTCTACCTCATTCTCATTCATAGTTACCCAGCATGCTAATTACCCCTTACCTGGTATACAGTCTCTCTGATCCCATGATCCTTCAGGGCAATATTGACCATCTAGACATTCAATTCCTACTATGTTTGATGTATCATTAGGACAGTAGTAACCAGCAGGACATAACCAGCACTCTGTGATATCTATGAACAAATAAAATATTATCATTAGTAACTTTGTAACTTCCTTGCATAAAACCTTTCCAATAGTAAATTTGTTTTGTTTTCAGCCGAATTGGTCATTCAATCAAATTGCACTTGGTATACAATCAATATGTAGCATTCTAAATACCTAGATGATGAAATAGGATAATAAAACAACAAAGACAAAGCAACTTAGCTTCCTCATCCACAATCAAGAGCGAGTCCAACTATGTATAAATTATGACATACCGGTAATAATATATACCAATTAGAAGCCAAGCTGAAACTTAACCTTAACAAATAACAGGGCAAGTCCAGTGTACAAACATAGTTTATTTGACTCAGCCAGCAATACAAATAATGTATTCCATTGTCCACTGACATTTAACACTGCACACCAAACCTAGAGTTGTTTTACACAATGCACAGTTATAATATTCATTACAGAGTAAACACTACCGGTATTACTAGTGCTAGCAATTGCTACTACCACATTTATGCACACATAGCAAATCTCTAGAAATAGAAGTACATACAAAATATAAATGTCATCACCATACTCATTGGACTTAGTGCCCAAGCTAAGTCAAGTCAAGTATCCTGGGTGGTACCGTAGGTAGAATGCGTATGGAGATATTATTTTCTGTTGGAACTATAAACTATGAATTATTTTGACTACACAAATAACACTGTCATTTATGTCACCGTATGCACTACTAATAGAGCAAATAATATTATCTGTTCAATAGAATGTGTTTTATTTTACCTCCAGCTTCTTGAGTATCTCTGTAAGTACCAGCAGGACATGGTATTGGTTCGGTAGCTGACTCAGGACAGAAATGTGCAACTGGACAGGGAAAGATGGTGTAATCCGCCATTCCTGAAATCAACAAGAATCCAGATAATAATTATCAAAGATTGTGTTTTGTGTAGTGACATACTTATATTTGCTGAAATATATTTTGATATTAATATGTTGTAAAAATTACACTAGCATCATATTCAAACACTATCCAGATCAAGTGTACACCAAATTATTTCCCACTCAAACCTGGGTAAATTTGTTCAGTTTAATTATTTTCACTGAATTCAATCTTAATTTTGAACCAGACAAATAAAATGTGACATTATTTTACTTTTGACCAAAAATTTAAAATTTATGCAACATTTCATGTGGAAAGAGCAGAATGAAACTATATTTTGGATGATGCCCTGAAGTTGACTTTGGAAAAAGGGTTAAATTTACAGGTTAAATTTACACAGAAAAATGACTGATAACAATCAACATATGCCATTACTAATTGGATTCTTTTAGACATTAATGCCATCTGATA